TGTGTGTGTGTGTGTGTGTGTGGGGGGGGGGGGGGGGGGGGGGGGTAGACTTCCCATGAGCCTTCACTCCGGGCCTCTCACACCTGTTGCACTGATTCATCCTCAGCAATAAAGACTCCAGACTCAACCGTCAGCGTTTGTTAAACTGGTGTTTTACTAACTGCTGTGTGGACATACAACCATCACTACTGGTGTTATTACTGGTGTTATTACTGGTGTTATTACTGGCGTTATTACTGGCGTTGCTACTGGCGTTGCTACTGGCGTTGCTACTGGTGTTACTACTGTTACTGGTGTTACTGGGGCCGGCCTGAAAACCCAGTTGGTCACTGGTCCGGTTCCTGGGACCACCAGAGGGTCTGGTGCCTGATATGAACCATTAAAGACGGACGGTTTCACCTCGAGGTCATTGAGCAGCTCGTTACCGTTACGTTGGTCACAGTGAACTAATACTACAATCATGTACTAATACTGCACTAAAAGTAAAATTACTGCATTCAACATGTTACTTTATAAAAGAAGAAATACTACAATCATGTACTAATACTGCATTAGAAGTAAAAGTACTGCATTAAACGTGCTAATTAATTGAGTGTTTTAGATATTAGATAAAATATTAAGATTAAGATGAGTTAATTAGTAAGTGAACCTTTAAGTTTAGTTAATTTATTTTTATTTATAAAAACACAAAAAGCTGAAAACTCATCTGAGAAGAAATAATTTCAGAGTTTTCTTTCTTCTTAAACGTCTCAAACGATGTGAAATCGTTGCTTCCCGTCTTTCTATTGAACTACTTTAAGAATAAAGGTTATTATGTTATTCTGAGGAGGCTGTGGAGCCAACATGGAGGCCGACACCAGACCCACGTCAGAGGAACGTCTCGCAGTCTTTGAAGATTCACTCGTATTGTCCCATCAGTTAGAGGCACAATGCCTTGGCTCAAAGGTCCAGAGTCAAATAAACTTTGGTGACCTCAGACCCCCCCTCGGTCCCCTTTAACCCCTTTAACCCCTGATGGAGTCGCTCCTCAGAGGGAGAGTGTTTGCTGGAGGATCATCTGATCGGCTGAGCAAACTTAAGACTTAACTGAGGAAGAGGAGACGTGGTGGAAAGCTCCTGTTTACGGTCAAGAGCACCTTCACCTTCGTGTTCATCAAACTGAAAATCATTTAGTCATCCGCTCTGAAGCTGCAACTGTGTTTGGCCTCTTATAAATAATTAAATTAATAAAATACATCAGTAAAGTTTTTCTGTATTTGTCCTCCGATAAATAAATATAATAAATGAAATAAATAAATTAACATATAAAATAAATTGGCGAAGTATTTAATAAATAAAGGAAATAGACAAAGTGTTTGTGGTTTCCCTGCAAAATGTAAATGAAATATATCAAATGAATTTAAAAAAGGCCAAGTATTTACTCAATAAAAACAATCATTTCTGTGTTTTGTCTCCAATAAATCAATAAAAGATAAAAGTATATAAAGTGTTGTCATATAAATATTTCCAGAGCACAAATAAGAAACTTTAAATCGTTGCTGCTTCCAGACAGTAAAGGTGTTTCCCTCTCTACTGTCTCCCTACATGCACATCTTACATTATGTCTTTTGACTTTTGCACCGGCCTCAGTGTGTCCTCATCTCCTCCACTAACACGTTTCCTTCTTGTGTTTCCTTGCACTTGCAGAGCTCCCTCGGCGATGGAGACTTCCCCATCGAGAGAGAAAAGAGACAACATGGACGGCTTCTCCGAGCTCCAGAAGAAACCCTCGGAGACAAGAGGTAACACTCTCTTTTAAATAAAGAAAGGCTGCTGGGTGTGAATGTGGCTGTCCGGCTGTGTGCCGGCCCCGGGGGGCCAAAGGGGGCCACGAACGCGGTGATGAAATATACATTTTAGAAGATAAGGTGTCATCCGGGGAGCTGGCTCTCCTCAGTCAGAGGTGACTCACAGCAGACGTGCGGTAGGAATCCTGAGCAGCCTTTAAAGAGCATCGCTAATGTACGGAGGCCCCGGAATGTCCCGCGGAGCAGCGTGGCCCCGCAAACACTGACGGACGGAGAACGTGACGGTGTTTGTGTTGTTGAACTAAATGAAGAGCGGCACCGAGCCGCTCTCTCTCGCGGGCAGGAAGAGAGGATCCATGTTTTAAAGATGTCAGTGAGCGCGTGATGAAAGCTCGGCATAATGAGGCTCAAAGACCTTGTTCTTACCTCCAGAGTATAACAGAAAATGGACGCCACGGCGCTGCAGAGATTGAGCAGCATGCCGACTGACGGCCCGCCTTTGAAATGGAAATTAAACGCGTGATTTAGTGACATTTCTACTCATTAATGAAGGACTTGGTGGCCTGCCATTATAAAGAAACACTCATTACATGATGAGGAAGGAACAAAGCTGGGAATCAAACCAGAAAACTACATCTAGTATCTCAAAGAGTCACGCCCACAAACACGTTCCTCTCTTTTTATCTTTAAGTGACAGAATACTCCCTCATTACATTAAAAACGGTGTGCACACAACTACAGTAAATACGGTAGGACGAAGCCTCTTTCTACTGGCCTGTAGCTTCTAGGACATGTTTAAGAAGTCACGAGGACGTGACCTGTAAAACAAAGAGTCATCTGTCAAAGTTGAACCAGGAAGTCGTTCCGTAAACTGTAACTTTTCTACGATTTTCCGACTTGGTTTTGTGATGAAAGCAGTTGTATTTCGATGCACTTAAAGAACACGATCAACCTGCCGAGGTGATTTCATGACGAACGCTCGGGAAGTGGAGGCGAGGAGGACGTGTTAAAGATGTCAGGCACGGCGTGATGAAAGCCGGGGATAATGAGGTTAAAAGAGCTGGTTCTTACCTCCAGAGTCGCTGGAGGACGATGTGGATGCAGAGTGAAGGGCCACTTTTGAAATGGAAATACAGCCAGTGAGCTGGTGACACTTCTGCTCTTTAATGAAGGACTTGGTGGCCTGACATGATGAAGAAATTCAACATTAAATGTTGATTAGAGAATATCAATGTGGGGCAGTTTTACATGTGGAGCCGGCGTGTTTCTTCACATGCTCTTCTTTAATATTTGAACAAAGGATTAGAGAGACAGAGCTTCTGCAGGCTCAGTGAACAGAATAACCTCCAGGATTTACAGCGTGTTAATGGGTTTTTACCAGAGCTGCAACACTTCAGGTTTTATAAAGGTTCTCAACGTGAGAATCTTCTGCTCTTCTTTTGCTATAAACGGATTATTTTTTTGTTTTGTAACGTTTAACGTGTAACTGCTAACGTCAAAAGTGTAACGTGAAACACCTAACGTGTAACGCCTAACATGAAACGTGTAACGCCTAACATGAAACGTGTAACGGCTAACGTGAAGCGTGTAACGCCGAACATGAAACGTGTAACGGCTAACGTGAAACGCCTTACATGAAACGTGTAACGCCTAACGTGAAACGTGTAACGGCTAACGTGAAGCGTGTAACGGCTAACGTGTAACGCCAAACGTGAAACGTGTAACGGCTAACGTGAAGCGTGTAACGGCTAACGTGTAACGGCGAACATGAAACGTGTAACGGCTAACGTGAAACGTGAAAGCCTTACATGAAACGTGTAACGCCAAACGTGAAACGTGTAACGGCTAACGTGAAACGTGTAACGGCTAACGTGAAACGTGTAACGGCTAACGTGATGCGTGTAACGGCTAACGTGTAACACCAAACGTGAAACGTGTAACGGCTAACGTGATGCGTGTAACGGCTAACGTGTAACACCAAACGTGAAACGTGTAACGGCTAACGTGTAACGCCAAACGTGAAACGTGTAACGCCTAACACGAAACGTGTAACGCCTAACATGAAACGTGTAACGGCTAACGTGAAGCGTGTAACGGCTAACGTGTAACGCCAAACGTGAAACATGTAATGGCTAACGTGAAACGCCTAACATGAAACGTGTAACGGCTAACGTGCAACGCCAAACATGAAACGTGTAACGGCTAACGTGAAACGCCTAACGTGAAACGTGTAACGCCTAACGTGTAACGGCTAACATGAAACGTGTAACGGCTAACATGTAACGGCTAACGTGTAACGGCTAATGTGTAACGCCTAACATAAAACATGTAACACCGAACGTGAAACGCCTAACGTGTAACGTGTAACCTCTACCGTGTAACGCCTGACGCGTGACGTACATTTAGTTGGTTAGTTTTCCTGTAAAATTGCAGCTCTATTCTCATGAAGTTATGTTTCTGAGCATCTTTCTTATGAACAACAGGACGAGACTCTTTGATTCTAAACTAAAGCAAAACATCCGCTTGTGTTTTCAGCCTCTGACTTCTTAAATCTCCTCTCCCCTAAAGTAAAGCCTCCATAACTCTTCCTCCCTATCGGTTGTGCTCCTGTAAAGCCCACGTATTTTAATCTTAAACGAACAACAAGCAACGATTCCCGTCCGCCGCCTCGACCAATCAGATATCGGTGCTAAAAACCACAACCGTCTGCCACTGTGTGGAGACAGAGCAATTACTTACGGGCGTAATATGCATTATTATTCCTGTTGCCGGGTCCTGATAAGTGAATATGCAGCATGAGAGACCAGGTCCTTGAACCTCGCAGCGTTTCTCTGAATATACTGCTGCTGCTTTTATTCCTCTGTTGGCTGCAGGATTCCTGTCACCTAAGTCATGCCACCTCCGTACCAGCCCGCCCTGTTTTATATTCCCGTCCCGCGTTATTTATTCACAACAGTTCCCTCTCTATCAAAAGCACACGGCTAATGCCGAGTTTTAATATGTTATTTACACATAAAAAAACAAGCTATTTACAGCGTGCATGTGTGCAGAAGGCAGGGAAATGAATGGGCCCCGGCCCCCCGACTCCAATCTGTTATATCACAGTTTAACAATCTGGATTGCTAATAGAACCATTTATCACGGAGCGGTCATTTGTTTTATGTGAGCGGCCCCGGGGTCCCGTTCCCAGAGGCCTATGGAAATCTGGGAGTGTATAATGAAGCTCAAGTGAGAGTCACTTTGTTTAAAGAGTGGATCCGACACGCGGGGACTCAATTAGGATGGACGCAGGTGGCTCCGGTCGCCGCGCTACGTCCACGCCGCAGACGGAGGAGCTCCAACAGGAAATAAACACCTCTGGCACGCCGTCTTTCTGGGACGTCAGCTCCCAAACAAAAGGGGGACTCGGCTGGCGGGGCCCGCCACTCTGCTGCCCACTAAATAGATTCAAATGAGCGCTTGTATTTCCTGTGACAGCACGCATCTGTCTGCTGGTTCAGGCCCCGCTGGTAATAACCAAAGGTATTTAGAGTGGAGAGAGAATGATGCATGTGTCAAGGTCCCCTCTGTTCCAACACATATAAAGACTTTTCTTTAAATCCGATTGGTTAAATGGAGAGTTATTGCTTTCTGCAGGAAACCCATCCTTCTCTTTCAGTGCAGGAGACTCCATGCTGATTGGCTCCCGACGCTTCACGGATCAATTTGAACTGGAAATCCTCTATTTGGAAGCCAATCAGAGTCCAGCTTTGGAAGAAAACACAGACATTTTTGAGCCAACAAAGGGCCGTTCTGGAGCTTTCGGCCACGTCACACGCTCTTCATCAGCAGGGGAAGTTCTCTTTAAGATTTGTGGACTTTTTTCTCTGCGTACTGAAAGGACTTGTTGTCCACGTCTCTGCAAACAGAAGCTAAGAGTCCATTGAGCAGTAGCTCTGGAGCTTTCCATCACTGCATTTAAAGCGCTGTGAGGAACAATTCTCCCACAGCTCCGTCTCCTGATAACAGAGCGTGTGGTGAGTTTATTTAGGCATTTTAAAACACAACCATGAAGTCCTTCCCCCGCTGCAGAGGAAGCTTTGTTCCGGCGGTAAACTAGGCCACAGGAAGCTACCGGCTGCTGCTAATGATTTGATTAACTGGCGGTGGAGGCTCGTGACATACATCCAGCTCAGAGTGAGTTTGTCATTTCAGAGGGAGATTGATGTCCCTCCCTCATCCCGCATCCCTCCCAGGTCTTTCTGCCGAGTCTGGCTGGTCCAGAGGGACGGACCCCAAGTACTTAGCACCTCCTAGCTGCTCTGTGTGTGGGGGGGGGGGAGACCTTAACAGGCTAAACAGACACACATCTCAGGCTACATCCACACTACTGCATTTCCTTTTTAAAAACGCAGAGCGGCCACACTACTCCGACACCCACGTCGCTCTCTCTCTCTCTCTCTCTATATATATATATATATATATATATATATATATAGTAAGTCACGGTTTGAAGCTTTGAGGAGGACTTTCCTGTTCTCATCAACGCTCCTTTTCTTCTGCTCAGCTATGGTGACGTTCACACAGAAACTGTAAAGGAGCAAAAGCATGAAGAGGCTTCAGCCAGCAGCAGAGCTGCGAGTGAGACAAGCTCCTTGATCCATAATCAAGTAAACTTTAATATGTAAATGTGTCTGTTTGATAGAAGACGATGATAGAGGAAGATCTCATTTATCAGGCACAGCCTTTAATCATGAAAGAGTACTCTATACTCTATACTTCCTGTTTACACACAGAGCGTTTCAGTATGAAACCTGATGATGTGCAGAGTTTGTGCTCTTTAACACGCTCTGTAGATAGTGAGTCTGAGAGGAGCTGCCCGTCAGCGCTGGGTTTGGTGTAAATAGTGTTCTTTAGAGAGGCGGCTGCTGATGAGGACGCAGCTCTTTATCTGCTGCTCTGAGTAACTGATGCACTCAGAGGGTCAGCACGCTGGCAGAGAGAGATGTGACCGG